TACTTTCACGAAGTATCTTATTTCGTCGCGTCGGCAAGAGAGAAGAGCCTGCCGACGGCTTTCCAGCCACGGGGAAGAGAACGCATTCGCGTGGAGATTCTCGCATCGCCCCGCGAAGACGTCGCCGCTCCGAGTCGGCCGAGACGTGGCATGCGTTTGTGCTTATTTGTTTCAACGAGCCTGCTGAGATGGATCGGGGCGCTTCACTGCGCCTCGTAGATTGGAACAGGCATGCATCTACGATTCGCTGCAAGGTAGTCGTCCGAAGTATATACAACAAATACATAGATGAACGTATTTTGTGAAGGCAGCGCTGCTTTGAAAAGTGCACTTCTTAGTCCACGATCGCGCGCGTGCAATTGCATTTAGACGAAATTGATGACGACGAAGGAAGATGGAATACGGGAATGAAAAAGAAAGATTGTTGTATTGACGTAAGTTAATGCTAATTTGAGATTGAGTGTTACGACGTGATACGTTTACGGTATACAACGATGAAAGCTGGTAAATGCACGATTTACATTCGCATCGGTTTGCATTGTGTTTCGATGTATTCAAATTATTACTCACTCTGACGTTAGTTATTTTGCTTGACGGCAAGAACACAAGGGCCTCATTCTATAGGCTGTCAGTATCAAGTTATTATGTAACGGGGTCTCTTAGTTGCATTGTGTTATAGTAACAGTATAGCTACAATATCAAGAAATACCACGCAGAGATCTTTCGCAAATTAACATAAAGTATTATTCGATCGCAACATTTTATTAACTAATATTGATTGTTTTAGCGAGAAAAATATTCTGATAAAAAGGAAAAGAGAATATCGATGGTTTCAAAATACGAGATTTGAAATTTATATTAATGAAACGTTTCCGGGAATCACATAATTCAATATTTGTTAATACGCTTTTACACGTTTTCAGCGTTTATATCCCACGTCACTGAAAGTTTCATGTGAAATGGATCCGTATCTTCTGACATTCTCTACTTTGTCAAACAATCGCAAGGTATTTTATTATTGATATGCACATGTATCGATTACGGTTATAACTAGTTCAGTTCAATTGTCAAAAAGCGGCTGTGCGCATGTGGACATTGTGAAATATAATCAGGCCCGCAATCAGAATCCGAAACTGGGTTAGAGAGAGGCTGTAATCAGAATACATTGAATTACATCGTTATCGTGCTCCGCATAATGTTGCATAATGTAACGTACACGATCAATTATGCGACGATATTTGTGCTTAATTATGCACGTAAGCCGGGAATTCTCACGCTGATATCGACAATCACTTTTCGACTCGCATACGCGCATAGATTATGGATATGCCGTAGCCGATTACGAATGCACAGATGGTCAGACGCACCGATCTGTTAATGATGATTAACAAAAGCTTTAATGCATTAACGAAGAGAGGCGACTATAAGATATTGCTCGTCAGTTTCGCGATATGACAAATGCGAAATTCAACATTATTGTACGATGTCAAAAAAAAAGATTAAATTACAATTCAGGTATATGTATATATATATA